ATAGCTCGTTAACAAGTAATAAAGTGGATTATGAGTCCAAGTATTGTCCCACAAGGATTGATTCAGTTCAATTTTAAGTACTACGACCTCAATCGAAACTATAAAATGAGAGTGTTTGTTGTAATGAAAATTATAACTAAATTAACTTACGTATGCAAATTTAAATTAATTTACCAAACTAAATGAAATTTATGTTGAATGCAAGTTGATGTATTCTTATGAATGACGAACGTACTAGGATTGCGAATCCCCATGCAATAATCCATTTCTAAACTTAGTTTTACACTTTGACAATATGGTTGAATTTTGACGAATCAATGTTCCTATTTTATTTAACAATCTCTCGAGTAATGTTGAATTTATTTTTTATATAAGACCCGATTATATTTCTATGACGAATGTGAATACACAAGAATGTATGAATTTTTATAAACACTTAAAGATTTACATAGAGTAAAGCGGAATATTTCTATCCCCTATCGAATCCTATGACAAATTTATACCATGTCGAGCTTTTTCCCTTTCTTTCGAATTCATGAAACAAGCCATCAAATTTACACAATCACCATGCACAATAATCATGGAGAAAAGAAATCTATATAAACCATTCATACTCAAAAACTTGTTTTTAACGTCAAACATGTAAAATTACATATTAAAAAATCATATCACATGATTCATTGTTGTCCTAGCACATATAAATTTAGCCCAATATGGTGGAAATAAGAAAACATAAAGAATATTGAAGAAGTGACATCACCCAATTAATTATTGAATCGAATCTTCCGGTCTTCGGGTAGTTTTTTGCATTTCTGGCCTTCCTCTATGCTCTCCAAATCTTTGAGAATCTGTTGGAATGTGTGGTGAATGCTTAGGGATGGTCCTAGGGTTTTAAAATATTCCAAAGATTTGTTTCCAAAAGAATTTCAGTCAGATAAGGGAAGAAGAATTTTTTTTCACTTCGATTGATTGCCCAAGCAAAACCTGAGTAGTCGCCTAAGCTAAATTTTCAACTTGATAATTGTTCTTTGATGATAGACGGTCACCCAAATATAAAAACTTCCGAATGTTGCATTTTAGTCATTGAATTCAATTTTTGATTTTTTTTTAAAATCCTTTCTCTTGCAAGTTCAACCATTCGACTTTTAGTTGCATCCAATTGAACCCACAACATCTTTAATCTTCATTTGTGGTTCAAATCAAGTACTGAAATATTGCAATTTAGCCCTCATACTTTGGATTTCCCCTTTTCCCACTGGAATTAGAAGCAGGTTCATCACTGAAAAAAAAAAAAGCCCTTGGTTAAGTAAAAATGAACATTTTCAAGATATATAAACTTAGTAATATGATCCAAATAAGTGCACAAACTGCACTCATCAATAGTCCTCAAAATTTCGACCATTTGCACTTTGATCATCAATCTTCTAATATTGGTAGTTTTGATTCCTTAAATTTGAAGGCGCACATCTTTTGATTCACAACTCCAAATTTGATATGTTTTCTATGCTGAAATCGAAATACAATTATCTTTCTAGTGGTATATAAATTGCATTGTGAAGATTTTTGTACCAAACTTTATGATCTAATTCCCTCACATGATTTGCAATGTAGGTTTCTTATTTTTCTTCTTTTGATCCTTTTATATAAAAATTAACATCTTTTTGATTGATTCAACTCCAAATTGGCAAATACACTTTCATAAAATTGGCCTAACAAGTTTGAAAGCTCATTTTGACTTTTCAAAAGCCATGCTCGATGAGCCGTGAATCTATATTTTAAATTGTCATTCTAAATCTATTTTCCAAACAATCAAACTTATGCTGCACCCTTGATTGATAATTGACTCGTCTTGTTCAAAGTGTTTTCCAAGTAAATAATCTTAGATGATTTTCTTCAATTGTAGAATGACTTAGTTTTCTTTGTCCATAGTTATTGGGATAGGCTACCATCCCTCTGTTGTTGATATTGTGATTCAATTGCTTCTGATATCTTTTTCCCACCCTAATCTTACTTGACACTTGATACCTCAATCAATTGGGGTTCAGATACTCAGCTTCTATTTGTTGTATGCTAGATAACTTCAAAAATTGGATTTTTTTATTGAAAAATTTGATTTCAGTACAAGAATTACTATGTATTTTTCATTTTTATATTTGTAGTCTAATGCATTTTTGTCAATTACAAATTCATTAAAAAAAAGTCAATCGCAAGACTTCTTATTACCCAAGATCATGATCCTCCTTTCCAAAGAAACTTCTTCATCTTCCAATATCTTGGCGTCAAATTCTGGTCTTCAACCATTTTTTAATGCTTCTAGAAGATTACAGATTTTATTTAACTACCCCATCTAAGTTTGTAATCTTCAATCTCTTAAATTTCTTGAACTTGTCAATGTAACTCGTTTTGCAGAAAGTTCGATAGTAAATCTTTGTTTTGGTAAACTCCATGTGAGTTCCACTTTACAGAAAATTCGCTGGCAGATCTTTGTGTTGATAAACTCCATGCCAATTTCACTTCGATTTACAAAATCTCAGTGTTCTCAAAAGTGTAGAGCATGGCAAGATGTGGAGGTCAAGTTTCAAGTTTGACAAACCTAGGCGAGGTCTAGGCATAAGAAAGTATTTTCTAATTTTTAATATCTTTTAAAATTTTAACTTTAATCATTTTAAAATTTATTTAATAATTAAAATAATATATACTAAACATCTAAAATTATAAAATGCTATATTTAATAATTCCTTTAATAAGTCAATTAGACAACTTTCAAATTTTCGAAATGCAAAAAACTAGACTATTGTTCATAGTTTCAACTTTAAACTAGATAAGTACTACTTCAAATTTTCTAATGCGTTTTTCATTTTTGACTTTTGTACATATTAAGTCATTTAAAACTTGAAATTAAAGTTAAATAAAAGGTTTTTAAATAATGGAAAAAGAAAATTTGATAAAGCGTTACTAAATGCTCAATGCTAAGATGTGGCCTTTTGCCTGAACCTTGTGCCTAGGCGTTGTTAGACAAAAATTTTTTAGAGCACTGTTAAATCTCGAATGATGTAATGAAACTACTTAATATATTGAGATCGAGCATGTAAGGCAGGATTTTTTCATGACTATTGTGGACATGTCATCACAATAGTTGTTGACTCTCATGCTTTGTATTTTTTTAATTAAGTTTCCTATATTCTATCGAGTTTCATCCATTTTAGCTCAATAATTTTCTTCTCATTTGGCAATTTTTGTTATTCTCAAGTTTACTTAGCCTATCACACAAAGGAAAGTTTAACCTACTAGGACTACAACTAATAAACCACCACAAAGATAGCTCCATGTTTACTCAAGGTGACAAAATTCCAAATTATAAAGATGACCTTCTTTTCATACCACCAAGTGTAGAACCATGAGGCAATCCTAATCACATTCCTATGATATTCTTGGTAAAGGCTTTTCCTAAAAAAAAGGTTATAAAAGTGGGACCATAAACACATCAAACCATGCATTGTCTAGCATCGATAGATGATCTACTCTAAATAATTTTCATCTATTAGAGGAAATGTAGATATCGATAGTTGTAAGAATCAGTGGCGATACTAACTTTAGAGCAGTTGCGTAAGAAATTTGTAAAATGTTGTGGCTATAAAGGTTAATCCGAGGAACTAAAGGTGTCTCTTCTTATTCAATTTATGCAGAAAATTAGTCCTTTGATCCAAGAACATTAAAAATAATAACAAAAAATGATTATGTCCTTTTAGAATCAAGTTGTTTGCACAGTAGTTCCGAGATCTCAAAGTTTCAAGACATTTAGGACTAAAAAACTCTAACCGTATCCAAAACTCTCACACAACTAAGTGCAACAGTAATCTCACCGACAAGAGAAACAGAGCATGTTGCGTGTTGTCACACCTGTCCTACCCATTGCCGAGGTGGGTTATATCCGAAGTGCTTCAAGCCGAGGCCCATTACCCGAGGCATGGAAGCTGTTGGATGTAGCTGAGGTCCTCAAATGGAAGTATTTGTCAAATGATCGAAGCCCCGAAGTTGATACACGAGCCTCTTAACCACAAGGAAACATCCTCCATGGTCACTTCTCCCAAGAGATCGCCTTCACAGATCTTATTCGAATGATTGATGGAATGTTTGTCATAAGCATAAGGGTCAAATCTTGTCACTAGCATGGAGGCCCTGCACAAGCAATAAATGCGCTGCAAGCTAGCAAGTCAAGCCCCATACCTAGGAAAAGATGTTTGAACTAAAGAGATGAGGCTACGTGCCACTTCATCCAAGGGCTTCCATTTTATATGTATCACTATAAATACTCCCATTGTATAATGTCAAAGGCTAATGCAAGAATCAATACTAAAGACTACACTTACTCAACTCTCTCTCATTTACTTGCAATATACAAATCGAGTTTATACACTTTCACATATATATTTACGAGCACCGGTTGATAATTATTGTACAATCGGATTACGAACAACCCACTGGATTCTGAACGTCACCGTCCCGCGTCGTTGGGCTACTCCCACGCCCCTTTAAACCGCCCATTTTAGACCGTCCACGTGTCTTAGCGTGTTGGACATTCGCCCACGCAAGCGCGGGTGGGACCGGCATCTGTTGGTGCACTTTTTGGGGTCAACAGATTGGCGCCGTCTGTGGAGAACCATACCATAACCACGAGCAACCTTGTGGTAAAAGCTTACTGAAAAACATTTGGGCAACCCCCCTTGAAAAAGGATTTGTTCTTGAAAAAGAACAGGAGGAACCCCTATCACTTAGAGAAATCTAAGTGTGATAAAAGAAAAATGAGTTCTAACGAAGATACTCCCCCAAGGAGGGTAAGAAAAAGTACGAATGTTCCTCCCCAGCCTGCTGCCCCAGCAGCTCGATCGAGGGTCCACCACCACCAAAGGAGAGGTGGGATGCGTGCGACAGCACGACTATCAAGAGAAATGGCTACCATGGCAGCCAACATGAGGGATATAGCCAACCAAAACTTGGTCATGAGGGAGCTCATGGCCCAAATGCAAAGCCAAGGAGGGTTCCCTATTCCTCCATATGCCCCCCACGAGCACTATCAGCAAGAGGACGAGGTCCAAAGTCATAGGGCTGCCTCGCCAGAATATGGGTGAAAGCCAATTCGAGAGGGAAGTGGGAGTCGACATTTCCTCCAACTATGCATCTGGATGACCCTCCGAGGTCCAAATGAGCCATGATAACTTTCCACCTCCATATGAGCAAGACCCAAGACATAGGAGAGCAGGAAGTGTTTTTGACAGAATCAGCCCTGCCGAACCGAGACCCAGTCAACAGCAGGCTCAGCAGCCTCGGACGAGGCCACAGCCTCCACCTCCGATGCCCCAGCAGCCGGAGAGAAGGCATGAAAATGCCCCCCGCACTATCCCGCATAGAAGTAGGCCGCAAAGGAGGGAGGAAGAGGCTAGGAACCGGCCCGGACCCTTTCACCAACAACCAAGGTACGAGGCCGAAGACTACGATTCTGATGAGCAGCAGAGGTCCTGTGACTTGGACGATAATGATGAGAACTTGCCATTCTCAAGAGAACTAAGAAATGCCCAGGTCCCGAGCCGCTATGCCATGCCAAAAATACCAAAGTATGATGGGAGAGGTGACCCAGAAAAGCACCTCAACGCTTACAAAACTCACATGAGCCTGAGGAGCGCCACCCCAGCTGTGAAGTGCAGAGCATTCCATTTAACCCTCAGTGGAACGGCTGAAATCTGGTATAGTAGGCTACCATCTGGGAGCATCCGAAGCTGGCCCGAGTTCAAAACTACCTTCTTGAAGAGGTTTGCAGTGAGCAAAGAAGGAGAGGCCCCCATCCAGCATCTTCAAGACATGAGACATGGCGAGTCCTTGAAAAGCTTCCTATCCCGCTTCACCGACGAGATGACCTACTGTGTACAAGTCATCGACAGAGAAGCACTATCTGCATTGAGAGGAGGATTGAACATGAACACCCTATTCTGGAGGGACGTGCAGAATCAAGATCCAACCACCTATGACGCCCTACTAGAGATGATGAGAAGGGAGATAATCAATGAAGAATTGATTGAGCATAGGAACAGGGCAAGCAGAGGCCTCCCCCTCCTCAAAGACAGCGAGGTAGAGGACCGACCTCCTACCTCATGGACTGCCAGATGAACCGATCCGGAAATGAGAACTCCGGCCAAGCCCTGGCCACCACAACTCTGAACGCGGTGCCAACCTTGGCATATGAGGATGTCAACCCAACCACTGACCCACATCAGATGGAGGCCCAACAGGGACCCCGTAGAGGAAGAGGCCGAAGCCGTGGTTTTGCACCTAGAAATAGGTCCAATCCGAACTTCCCTGGATACTGTTTGCACCATAGGTCCTATGGGCACGACACCGCGGATTGCAGAGATTATGCACACCGCTCCCGGCAGAAACTCGCCAGAGAAAGACATAACTCGCCCCAGGCGAACAGGCCCCCGCCCAGGTAAGATAACCGACATGGGCATGAGGTGGCTGCTCCTCGTCAAAGGGATGTATCCCCAAGGCGAAGAGAGCGAGACATAGAGAGGCCCAAGGAAGGGCGTAGACACCGAAGAAATAGGCAAGCTCAAGATGAGGCCCCTATCCACGAGATAGATACCATATTTGGAGGCCCTTATGTTGGCGGTGAAACACGAAACACCAAAAGAAATTATGCTAGGGAGGCTAAGCACCCCCCTCTGACGAGCTACATTGTGGATAGTAGCTCTCGAAGAAACCAAGTACCACCCATTGTCTTCACCCTGGAAGACGCCGAAAGAGTTCATTATCCCCACTGCGATGCGCTGGTGGTGAGGGATGTCATAGCCCGAAATGGGCTCAAACGAATGCTAGTCGACAATGGCAGCTCCGTCAACATCCTATTCGGGTCCGCCTTTGACAAGATGATATTGGACCATCAGTTGACGCCCACCACCACTCCATTGTACGGATTTACTGGAGAAAGCATCACTCCGAAAGGAAAGATAACACTGGCAGTGGAGATGGGAGAATCTCCTCAAACTACGATGAACTTTATGGAATTCCTCGTAGTTGACAGCCGGTCAGCTTACCACGGAGTCTTGGGCAGCCCTAAAAGAATTGGGAGCAGTCACCTCCATCCACCACCTATGCATGAAATTCTGAACAGAAAATGGGGTGGCAACGGTGAGAGGCAACCAGAGAGGTTCGCGAGAGTGCTATCTGAGCTCCATTAAGAAGGTAGAGCCCCGGGACGTCCATGTGATCATGGCTGATGTGGTCATGGCAGATGTCCCAGGTGACGCTCCCACTGACCAGGAAGATGTTGATATGATTGACGCACCACTTATTCAGGAGGTGCTGATCGTTGATGAGATCGACCCCCGCATAATGGAACATGAGCCTCAAGCATCCCCTGTAGAGGAACTTGAGAGCTTCTCAGTCGACCCCCGAGATCCGTCCAAGGTGTTGAAGGTAGGCAGAGGCCTGTCCAACATTTTGAGAGAAAAAATTAAGGACTTCCTAGGCAAGAACCTTGACGTCTTTGCTTGGAGGCACGAGGACATGGTGGGCATAGACCCCAAGATCAGCTACCACCACTTGAAAATTGATCCTAATGTTGCCCCGCATAGACAAAAAAGGAGAGTCCTCAACCCTGAGAGGTATGAGGTCCTAAAGGAAGAGGTTCAGAAGCTCATCCAAAATGGCTTCATTAGGGAGGTCACCTATTCGAAGTGGGTCTCCAACCCGGTCTTGGTGAAGAAACACAATGGAAAATGGAGGGTATGCATCGACTTTACCAACCTTAATAGAGCTTGCCCGAAAGACAGCTTCCCGCTTCCAAGGATTGACCAATTGGTGGACTCCATGGCTGGGCACGAGTTGTTGAGCTTCATGGATGCATACTCCGGCTACAACCAAATCTCCATGCACCCGGCCGATGAAGAGCACACCTCTTTCATCACGGATCGAGGCCTCTATTGCTATAGAATGATGCCTTTCGGGTTGAAAAACGCCGGAGCAACCTACCAAAGACTCGTGAACAAAATGTTTACCGACCTCATTGGCAAGACAATGGAGGTCTATGTAGATGACATGCTGGTGAAGAGCTTAGAGGCAGAGAACCACATAGCGCACCTCAACGACACCTTCCAAATCCTGAGAAGGTACAGGATGAGGCTCAACCCCTTGAAATGTGCCTTTAGGGTGGCTTCCGACAAGTTCTTGGGGTACATGGTCAACCAGCGAGGAATTGAAGCAAATCCCGAGAAGATTGAGGCTCTGTGCCAGATGAGGTCCCCTCAAAAGCCAAAGGAGGTGCAAAGCTTAACTGGATGAGTGGCAGCACTTAGTCGCTTCGTCTCCAAAGCAACTGACAAGTGCCTCCCATTTTTCAAAGTGCTCAAGGCTGGGAAGAAATTCCAATGGATTGAAGAATGTGAAGAGGCCTTCCAAGGATTAAAAAGGCATTTGGGGTAGGCCCCACTCCTCTCCAAGCCAAAGCCCGGCGACATCTTGCAACTATATCTTGCCATCTCCAATGACGCCATCAGTTCGATTCTGATTCGAGAAGAAGGGTCCACCCAACTTTCCGTCTACTGTACGAGTAAAGCGCTCCTATCGCCGGAGACCCGATACCCCGATATGGAGAAGCTTGCTTTGGCCCTAATCACGGCCTCTAGGAAGCTGAGACCCTACTTCCAAGCTCATACCATCCATGTACTCACAAATTTTCCCCTAAGGCAAGTTCTCCAAAAGCCCGATGCCTCGGGAAGATTGTTGAAATGGGCAGTGGAACTAAGTGAATTTGACCTTGTGTTCAGAGCTAGGGCAGCCATCAAAGGGCAAGCTTTAGCTGACTTTGTTGCTGAATTCGCCAACCTACTCGAGGTGGATGAAATCATGGAGTCCGTCGAACCCCCCAGTGGAGCCTCTTCATCGATGGCTCAGCTGGAGAAGTCGGCTTAGGTGCCGAAGTTGTCCTCATCAGCCCCGGGGGTCACAAACTCACTTCGGCCGTGAGGTTCGGATTCAAAGCCACCAACAATGTTGCAGAGTATGAAGCACTCCTTGCAGGCCTCAGACTGGCTAAGGAAATGCAAGTAAAGAAGCTACTCGTCAGTAGTGACTCCCAGCTGGTTGTTAGCTAAGTCAATGGTAATTTCTCAGCCAAAGACAAAATAATGGCCTCCTATCTGAAAATGGTGATGAGCCTCATCCCATCCTTTGAAAAGTTCGAGTTAACCCAGGTTCCCCGCATTGAAAATGCTCATGCGGATGCACTCTCGAAGCTGGCTAGTAGCAAAGACTCAGAGCTGCTCACTGTAGTGCCTATCGAACACCTCCTACTGCCTTCTACCGAGGCCCCTAATGTCATGTGGGTCAGTGGAACTCCCACCTAGATGTAACCAATTATAGCATATCTGGAAGACCAAGTGTTGCCCACCAACAAGAATGAGGCTTATAAGCTGAGAAGGAGGTCAGCCCACTTCCTCTTCATCGATGACATTCTCTACAAGAGAAGTTTCTCCTCTCCACTCTTACGATGCGTCGGAGGAGAAGAGGCTACCTACATACTAAGAGAAGTCCACGAGGGAGTGTACGGAAACCACTCTGGAGGCCTATCTCTGGCACAAAAAATACTGAGGCAAGGGTACTACTGGCCTACCCTGAAACGGGATGCCCTCGAATTTGTGCGAAAATGTGATAAGTGCCAACGATTCTCTCCCGTTCAAGGACGACCATCACAGGATTTGACTACAGTCTCCAGCCCCTGGCCTTTCTCAAAGTGGGGTGTGGACCTCATAGGCCCTCTACCAAAGGGTAGAGGAGGTGCAAGTTTTGCAATAGTGGCCATTGATTACTTCACAAAATGGGTCGAAGCTGAACCACTGGCAAAAATCACAGAAGCAAACACCTCCAAGTTCCTATGGAAGAATATTATTTGCCGGTTCGAAATTCCCTACTCGATCGTCTCAGACAATGGTAGGCAATTTGATAACAAGAAGGTTAGAGAACTGTGTGAAGATCTTGGCATAAAGAAGCATTTCTCTACACCTCACCACCCACAAGCTAATGGCCAAGTTGAAGCCGTAAACAAGACAATCAAGCATGTTCTGAAAAGGAAGCTTGATGTATCCAAGGGAGCCTGGGTTGATGAGCTACCCCAAGTACTTTGGGTAATCCGAACCACCACCAGGACCCCAACTGGGGAGACCCCTTTCCTCATGGCTTTTGGGACTGAGGCGATGAGCCCCGTGGAGGTCGGACTCCCATCTCCACGGCGTCTACACTTCAGCGAAGTGACCAACGACGAGCTCCGGAGGCGAGACCTCGATTTTATTGAGGAGAGAAGGGACGACTCCCAGCTGAGGCTAGGCACCTATCAAAGAAAGATGACAAGGTACTTCAACTCCAAAGTCAAGAAGACGTCTTTCCGAATCAACGATCTTGTGCTCAGGAGGGTCTTCCCATCTTCAAAAGAACCTGATTCCGGCTCCCTGGGGCCGAACTGGGAAGGTCCATACAAGATCAGAAAAGAAATCCGACCTGGAACCTACTGGATTGAAGACATGGACAGCAAGGCACAACCCCGCCCATGGAACATTGAACACCTCAGAATCTTTTATCAATGAATTGTATCATGCTGGATGACTTTCCCAGCCTTTGTAATATTTCTATGGCTCAATAAAATGCATTGATTAAATCGTGTCATACTGCGTCGTCGTCTCGGAGGAGAGGCTCGGGACCCACCTCTGGGCCACCTCGCTTGAACTCCGAGGCGCTGGCACATGCCTCCCTCTGGCCAGGCTGAACGCCAAGGGGAGAAGCCTCAACATGGCTACACCATCCACCATGTCTGGGATGCGTCGTCACCTCGGGAGGAGAGGCTCGGGACCCACCTCTGGGCCACCTCGCTTGAACTCCGAGGCGCTGGCACATGCCTCCCTCTGGCCAGGCTGAACGCCAAGGGGAGAAGCCTCAACATGGCTGCACCATCCACCATGTCTGGGATGCGTCGTCACCTTGGAGGAGAGGCTCGGGACCCACCTCAGGGCCACCTCGCTTGAACTCCGAGGCGCTAGCACATGCCTCCCTTTGGCCAGGCTGAACGCCAAGGGGAGAAGCCACAAACCTAAATCCGAGGCTCACACTGTTCGCTTAAGTCCGGTCTCCTTAAGTTATGTTAATTTGCTTAAGTCCGAGGTTCGTACAGTTTATCTCCTTAAGTTATGTTAATTTGCTTAAGTCCGAGGGTCGTACAGTTCATCTCCTTAAGTCATGATTATTTGCTTAAGTCCGAGGTTCAAGTCATGATTATTTGCTTAAGTCCGAGGTTCGCACAGTTCATCTCCTTAAGTCATGATTATTTGCTTAAGTCCAAGGTTCAAGTCATGATTATTTGCTTAAGTCCGAGGTTCGCACAGTTCATCTCCTTAAGTTATGTTAATTTGCTTAAGTCCGAGGTTCGCACAGTTCATCTCCTTAA